AAATGAATTAGAATGTAAAAATAGGACCATTTCCAACTCCCAAAAATCTGGAAACAGTTATAAACTCATTAATCACCAGTAGATAAGACTACTGTTATTCTAGCATCAGCAAAAAAATCCCCCTCCCGCCTCCAGCTCATCCAAATGTATGCTGTTGGGGTTTTAACTCGAAAATACAAGCACATCACTTTCCTATTAAATGTGTTCTCTGTAATCGGTTTGAAATGTGGTATGTAAACAAAGTTTGTTCTTGTTCTGATTGAATTTGATCTCAAAAGTCTGTATTTCTTCTCTCTCTCAGATGAAGTTCCTGACGATGAGTGGAACCTGTTGTATGTGGCGGTGACTCGAGCCAAGACGACTCTGATCATCACAAAGACCATCCGTCGCATTCTCACAGAAGCAGGGGTGAGGCAAAATCACTCGCTACCTACACACCTCTGTGTTAAGAGACTCAGAAAGTGTCAGGAAAAAAGATTCTCTCTCTTTTTGTCCTGATCCCTTTATATAAAAACGGGTCTGAAAATGAGCTGATCAGAATTCGGCCACTTAGTGATGTCACAATGTGTTTTTGGCTTGTGTAACCATTAGCCAATCAGCAACCAACATCCTTATCACCTGCATCTCCTGCTAGAGCACCATTTGTGTGTTTTCTTTTTTTAAACCAAACATCTTGCAGAGGGGCGTGGTGAGCCGCAGCTCATTAGCATTTAAAGCTACAGACACTGAATCAGGATGTTTTGTATAGATCTGAGACCTGTAATATATTGTTGAAATAGAGTATAATAGGGGAATTTTAGCTAAAACCATACAAAATGCAATTACTATCATGTTTAGGTTTTCCCCTGCATCTATACTTCCCTCTTGTTGCTTTTGATTTCTAAAGATGGCCTGTCAGAGTTCGACCAGTTTCTCCCTAAACATCTGCCAGCCAGGTTATTTCAGGTTATTACATATGACTTCTAGGTATAGAGTGGGGCAGTGATGACGTCTTTGTGTAGGCCGACATGGAAGTCAGAATAGAACTTTTCCTCAGACCTTATTTTAGGTTTCTAACCACAAACACATTAAAAAACATTGAGACGTGGGAAGTGAAAGTGGTCGTGTCTTTTCCAGGTTTTAGGACTCATTACTGGACCACTCTATTTGTGCCGGAATATAAGTAAAGTAGTTTAGCCCACATTGCACGATTTATGCTCTATCAAGCGCTTCGAGCACCAGGAAAAGTGCTATATAAATAACATGTATTATTATTATTATTATTATTATTATTATTATTATTATTATTATTATCAAAGATTACTTGATACACCAGAGGCCTGTACGACGAAGCTGGATTTTCTCTTAGCGGCTGACTTCAGGGAAAACTCGGGCTTTCCGGTCCTACGACGCTGGTTCTCTTTTTAGCAGGCTAGATCTCCATGGTAACTTATGCTGTGCGGCTAACCTGCCCCGGAGCAGGTTAGGTTGCAGGCTAAGAGATCAACTCAGTGAAAGCACCGCCTGCTGACCAATCAGAGCTAAGTGTGGAGAGTTTAAAGCTATAACATTAGCGTTAAGAAAGCTTACTTAAATATCTGCCACAACATAAGTAACCGGATCAAAGTAACATTACGTACAGTCCGCGGCACTGTGAGTGCAGACTTCGATGTGTCCCATATCATTCATATCACATCATAATGTATCATATACTTCCTTATCTGAGTCAGCTGAGCCGTATCTGGCCGTGCAACACTCACAGTGTCACATACTGTATGCAGAAGTATTATTTGAAATAAAACCCATTAAGTTGACGAAAAACTCGAGACAAATGTAATTAAAGTCAGATCGTGTCTTAGACGGGGCAGTGATATCATAAACCTGTTAATGTACGCATTCAAACCCTTTTTCTGTTACCAGCTGTATTCACCTTGCAGGTGCAGCCATGTGGCTTTTATCCTGGATAAAGTGTTTAAGTCATGGATGTTTAAAGTTTAACTTCTTCATATTTGACTAATATTATAGTTGACTTTTCATTCAGGAAGTATGACGCTGTGCTGTCAGTACGCTTCTCCATGTTTGTGATTGGTCGAATGCTCCAGATACCATCCCTTTCATGTGAACGCGCACCTAACTAGATAGGGCAAAGCTGGCTTGAGTTAACGAGTTGATAACCAGCGTCCTAGGACAGTTTAAAGCGAGAGCGCGTTTGTTTTGGATTAGGTAAACCGGGTAACTCAAACGTATCCAGGTTATGTTGAACCGGCTTCGTCGTACAGGCCTCTGGAGATACAGGTGTAATGGAGCCGCAGAGGCAGCAAGTTAAAACAACTCTCTTTTTAGTCCCTCAAAAGTGCTTTTAGAAATGGTTTTTGACATCCAGCCAGCAGATGATGTGTGTCAGGCCACACTGAAAGCAAAGAACAAAAACAATGTCCAAAATGAGTCTAGACTTTGTGTACATTTCTCTCATAGCACTTCCCATTGCGGTAATACAAGTTGTATAACAGACGTTCTGTTGATGGCCTGAACAGTGCTGAGAAATAAAAAAGACACTCTGCTGGAACCACAGTATACAATACAATACAATACAGCTTTATTTCTAAAGCACTTTAAAACCTCCAGACCAAAGTGCTGTACATTCAAATAAACAAACAAAACATACGAATATATCACACAGCACAGCTCACACATCATAAAACAAGTACAAGTCAAAACAATAGACAAATTAAAAGCAATAAAAACAACAATCTAAAAGATACGTCATGCCTTAGCGTATGCGTCAATGCGCTAAGGAGAAGAGGTGGGTTTTAAGAAGTACTTAGAGAAGACCACAACTTCCTTTCAATGGACCTCAAAGATTGATGGACTAATCTCTGCAGCTGTACATGAAGGCTAAATGTTTAGCGGGGGTTGGTCTGGGCCGGGCGTGAGGCCAACAAAGTGTCCGCCCCCCCCCCCGTAACCCAGCCTGTGGATACGGTTCTCTGCTTCCTTTATTTTCTCAGCACACAAGGGGCTCAGCATCTGCTCCTCGTTAAGTTGTCGGAAAAGGCCAAACAATTGTTGCAACAGTTGTTCACTTTACATCATGATGATCGTAAGTTCATGTCCTCTGCAGGAGTACTTTCTGAAATCGGAGATGCCGAGCACCCTGATGAAGCAGGGCGATCCGCTCCCGTGTTGCATCCCAGACTGCCCAAACTGCGCCACCCCCGGATCAGCCTTCATCATGTGCAAACAACAGATGAAATGTGTAAGAACATATCCTCCTCACTAACATTAAAGGGGACCTATTATGCAAAATCCACTTTTTCATGTCTTTTATACATACACATGTGTCCCCTCTGTGTAAAGAGATTCTGAAAGTTTCAGGAAAAAAGATTCTCTCTTTTTGTCCTGATCCATTTATAGAAAAACCCGATTTTGGCCACTTTATGATGTCATAACGTTTTTTTGGCTTGTGTAACCAATAGCCAATAACCAACCAAGGTAACCCCCCCACCCCCACCTTATCACCTGAATCTCCTCCTAGAGCACCATTGTGTTCTTTTTAACCAAATATCTCTGAGGGGCGTGGGGAGTGGCTCCTTATTTTCATCTAAAGTAACAGACAGAGAATCAGCACTTTTGAAACAGAGGGGATTATGGGAAGCTACAATGCATGATCTGTTCGATATTTCGAGCCAAACACTTCAGAGACATGTTTTGTTTATATCTGAGAATTATAATGTATTGATGGAAAACAGTATAATAGGGGACCTTTAAAACCAGCCTCAGAAAACAACATATTTTATTCTAACTGCCTTTCATTTACAGTCATTTTGAATAGCCACTTAGCATTCTGTGATATTAAACTAGAGGTATTTTTTTGTCTGTTTTTAGTCTGACGGTGTGGCTGCTGGCGGCCCACTGTGCGAACGGTGTGTGTGGACGCGGGTCGGACCAATCGCCTTCCTCATGACCGACGACGTGCAATCCATGGCGGAGATACCACATAGACTGGGCCAGCAGGTCCACCACATGATGCTGGTGGCCCTTTTTTAACACTACTCTTCTTAAAAGAGTTCAAATGAAAACTTTGTGAGATAATCGTTTTTGTTTAGTGAAGAAAAGACTTCAGCCAGAGAAAACGACCAGACCAAACAAACTGAAAATGTTTTAATTTTTCTCTGCAATGCATGGTTACATTGTGACTTTATGTTTATATTTCTTTTTTTAATGAGGAATCTGGATGTTGTCTTATGCAGTTGAGGAGGATTGTGTATAATTGTGTAACTGCTGGAAGACTTGTCTACTTTGTCTAAAAACAACTTTTGTGATTGTCGTTATTCTCCGGTCAAACTGAGATGAATACTTTTTTTAATGGTTTTTAAAAAAAAAGTATCCAACAAGATCAAACGTATATTTTTGTAGAAAAATACTCATTACAATGCAGTGGGATACACTTAATCCTGTTCGGTCTGCTGAGCAGCTGCTCTCACTTAGACATCATTTTAGTTAATGGCCCAAAGCCTTTATTGTTCCTTTTAAGAGAATGAGCATCTACAACTAGATAAAAACAGTTCTTTGTCACGTTATTTTCATCATGACTAACTGTGAAGGACAGGACCAGGAAGTGCTGCCTGGCAGATATTTTTAAATGACTTCATAGTGAAGTTACATTTAGGAACTGCAGAAGTGAAAAATATAAACAAGCATGATGTTCCTCTTCTAGAACGGGTGGGCGTCTATCATCGTACTAAAACCGTTATAAGCAAGAATAGACCGCTTTTTTAAAAAGAAATACTTTAATGATACAAATGCACAGTGCAGCGCAACAAGAGACACAGGAACACAACAATCATCTAAATAATTAAAGCTGCTCTGATAAGGACTTTTTTCTGATCAACAAAACTTTAAGGAAACACTTGAATGCAAAAGAAAAGTTCATAAGCATAGCAACAAAGCTGAATATTTTAGATTGCACATTTTACAAAGAAAAAGCTTTAGAGTGAGATTAAATAAGAAGTGTTAACTGCTTTATTTTTATGATATAGGAATTGTTTACTTTCCCACTATTCATTCGCAGACCTGAACCTGCTGTTGGGTTTGTCATGTAATGCTTTGGTTCTCTTAGAGGAAACAAATATTCTGTACATTTCATTGTACCAAAGTGGCTGCAGAAATAAGATAAACTGTGTCCTGTAATGGATGGACCACATTTTTAAGTGACAATGCTCTGTAGATTACTGACAGTCTTTGTTCAGTGCATGGTTCAGTACAACCACTACACAAATAACATCAGGCTTAGCATTTCAGATGAGTAAAACAGATAAGAGATGAAGAAATATAGGCGTTCACAGTAAGCTACGTTTGCTAAATAGTTGGAGAGTAAATCACGAGTTAATCTTGAAGCTATAAATCTATTTATTGGACTATGATATATTTGCTGATATAACTAAGTATGCCACAATACGGTTGTGATAGGATTCAGTGACAAGCTCCTAAAAAGCTACTCGGATATTACTTGACAGTTGTATCACTGTACTTATTCGGATGACCACAGATATGAATATCAAAATAAAGGCAGATCTTACTATGGTCCTTAAAATTAGCCTATCGTAGTTAGCATTTTGCCCTTTGGGTAGCTTCTTAGCCTGCAGTGCTGACTCCCAGATCATGGGGTGAAGGCAAGGCAAGGTAAGTTTATTTATATAGCACCTTTCAACACAAGGCAATTCAAAGTGCTTTACAAAAAATGAAAGAAATTAAGAAAATGACAAGCAAGGTTTTTCTTTAGTGAAATGTAGTTTAGTTAGGGCATTTTTTTAGATGCTAATGTGATCATTGGTGCGGCCCACTTATGTGTTTCAATCATTTCTACAGAACAATGGAACTCTGGCACAAGGCACTAAGATCTATAAATAACCATACCTGTAGTTGGGAATTGACTAATTGCTTCTTTTTGTAATTTCATGGGATTTGAAGACAATATCACCAACATACGTCTACATCTTGTAGCAACAGAAGATCACAGTCTTCAACAATTAAAGTTCCTCAAATGAAGATCAAATATTTGGTTTAGATCTGCTCATTAAAAAGTCAGTTTAACTTCATACAACAAATGTCATGGAGCCAGCCATTATATGTGATTTACACAGTCTAATAACCCATTCTCCTGTCAGTCACGTGGATCCATTTTCATGGGTATCTGTTCATCGGTCCGGTGAGGGATCTCGTTTTTGGACCTACGCCATGAAGGAAAAAGTAAAGGGATCATAAGCAGTACAATAAGTCAATAATTGGACATTTAACCAAATTGCTATGATGGATAAACACGCAAACTGTTTGTTCTCTGCAGTGTCACGCCTCAATCTGAGTTTTCTCATCACATGAAACAGTTTGCTGGGACATAATTGCACACATTCAAACACAGAGGTATGTGAGCATGCTTACCTTTTATAGAAAAAGAAGCTGATTCCCACCAAAGCACAGAAAATCACCAGTGAAACACAGCCGATCACAATTCCTGCCAATAAGAGAGAAATACTCAGTGTTTTTCTGGCTCTCAAGCTGCAACCACCACGAGCTAGCACAAACGGGTAGAGTGACTTACTGGGGGCCGAGGAGGAGAGCATTCCCGGAATAATTGTCCCGTTGTTGGACGCCTCAGTCGTGGTGGAAAGTGTGCCATGTGATTTGGATGCTTCGGTCCCTGGCATGGAATCTACCGCCCCTGGTGTGGAAGAAAAAATGATCTTATTCCCCTGTTGCTCAGTTATTAATGAGGCAGTCCAGAAAGGATAATGTCCCCAAGGTACTGTTATATATTTATTTTACAACTAATGCTGTTTCGTGTATGTTTGAAAAAAAACAATGGTTGAGCGTAATGTGTAAAAGTCCAACCTTTCTATCTAACAGGATAGATTCTGAATGGATATATGGTTTAATCCAACATTAAAGTATTTTTTTAAATATCCCAAATTGTTCATGTATTTATTGTAACTGATTATCTTAATAAATGCCATGCAACACAATAAATAATAATCAAATTGTTTATCTTTTACAGAAGTCTAACAGATACAGGCCCGGGCTTGAGAGCAACTGTTGGCAACATGCAGTGCCGTTAAACTGGTTAGCAGGTTACCCTGGGAGGATCCGGGCGGGGCAAGAGAGGAAAAGGTGGAGCTGGAGGTGGTCTCTGCACTCAGGGGGGCTGACGGCTGTATACTTTGGCTGGTCTGAAGACTGCGGGAAGCTGATGTGGATAACAAAATACATTAACTTCTACTAATACTGCTTAGAGATGACTGCGACATAGAATCTTTGAATACTTTCATATAATATGCCACATAATTCCTAACAAAAAGGTAAAAAACACATGCCAGAATTTTTTTTTTTAATATATTAGTATTCATACTACTGTTATAAGTGCTTATGTTAAGCATAAGGCCGTTTCCTCTACTTGCTACCATAGTGTAACCACTAGTGATAGTATCTTGAATCATGTTTGACTTCCAGTTACATTCGTGCTTCCTCTGCCTCTAAACCACATTTTCTGACTCTACACAGGAACCCGATAACATGTATCTGCGTGCACAAGATCATAATGATGTTGTACAATTAACACAGTTTGTCAGATGTAATAACCAGTTTGGTCTCACCACCACTCATCATGCTCCTGAAATGTCTCAGGGGCACTGTCATAAACTTCATGAATGTTGCATTGAAATGTTGAACCCTCTCTTTTATCCTCCCTCCCACTAATTTAAACATGGAGCAAAGTACTTACTCAGAATACATTAGAATGAGCGAAGTATTCTGTTAAGTAGCAATGGTTTTCCTTATGTTTGTGTTGGTACTCATTTCAACCGTAACTCCTACAATGCAAGTACATTATGGCTTCTGATAAACCTTCCACTGATGTTATTACTACTAACTTTACTACTGCTTCTAATTATTACCACTGCTGCACACACACATTTTCTATGTATATGTGTCACTCTTTCAGTTCCATTATTAGTGCTTTTTTATTGTTAGTATTTTTCTAGTATAGTAGTAGTATTTTCTTCATGCTGGGATAGAACTCACTGACTATGGAGGAAGCGGTGGATTCATGGGGGATATGGACATGGGTGTGTCCCGCTGCAAGATCAGAGCATTATTCATAAATGTGAAACACATACTTCTGTCCAGCTCACATTGAAACATAGCACTTGGAGCTTACACTTACTTGTTGCTGTGCTCTTGGGGGGTGCTGTGATGTTGTTTGGGTTAACTGAAAAAACACAAATAACAAGTTGAAACTTGAGAGCATGAAAAAGCCAGAAAGATGATAAGGATTGTGGATTGTCACTATCACTGTCAAAAACAATGCACCCTACCCTTCCAACAATGTGACCTGTTACTGTGTTTTGCCTGGTGAAGGAAATAAAACCCTTTCTATTTTAGTTTCAAAGCTAACGCTCAGAGTACCTCACACTGTACGCCGATGATACACTGCTCTTTGTCTAAAACGTACCCCCGTTTCTTCCCGCCCTGCTAAATATATCTGGAAACTATCTTCGACCAACCCCAACCATCAAATTATTTATTTATTTATTCTACCATAGTTCGACATAGTACAGTACTCACAGGTTTTATGTAATAAAAGCCACACATTCAATACAAGGCAGCTTGTGCACTGCCACTGACCAGGCTTCAGTTATATCCTGATATATGGTCTATGGGCCACCAGGAGTTGTCCGTTTCTGGAAACAATTATTATCTCAATAATATGTTGAAGCTGGATGGAAGTGTGTGGGTGGTGTGTAGAAAAAGTCTGCTTTTAGATGTATTATTAGTGTAAGGTGCTTAAAATAGTCTCGTACACATATCAGTGTCTACATTTCAAAAGAAATACATCACCATGTTTTACATACTTCCACTCCTTTTTCTACAAAACTACCAGACTAAATTGGAAAATAGGCTGCAGTACAGAGACAGCAAACTGCTCTCTTACATTTAAATTAAGAAATCTGTTGAGTTGCAGCCAATACATCGTGCTGTTTAGACAAGTAATGATTAAGTTGCATCTGCTAATGTTTAGCACTTCTCCTGTCATGTCCGTTCTTCGTATGACTGGAGACTCTAGTACTAGAAATCACATGTAGATGACATGTGGACGATTGATTTACATACCAGTGTGCCTCAGTAGCAACATCATTCACTTTAACTGTGTGTTTGATTGTTTGTGTCAGGCTAAAGAGGAGCAGGCGGCTTCCTTCTTAAATGCTGCTCAAGTCAAGTCCAAGTGTTCAGACTGCATTGCTAGTGTTAAACAGCAGACATTTGAATCATCTGGGAACTTGGTTTGTTAGCGTTACATGCAGTTGGCAGTATGGCCTGTCTATTCAAATACAATTCTGTATGCTATATATGCTGCATATCACATATGATGCATGCTACAGGCATGCACAGTCTTGTTCTCTTTTCTTACATACCAGTTTCACAAGTTCAACTATCTGTGCTCAGTTTAGGCTGCTCTGATTGCATGCAGTGTGTCTACAAATGTAAAGAAGAAAAAAAACAATCTTACGTATACATTCGAATTTCTCTTTTGTGGAGGGGGTGTAAATGAAAGCTGTGCCATTGCATTTGAGGAGATTAGAGGTTCCCGACTTCCTCACATAGCCATATATGCACTTGTATCGGAATTTGCTGTTAATTTGGAAGCAGGGGACCTCGGGAGGTTTAGTGTTATTCGCTTGAGGAATATCTGGACAGCAAGTGTTGTTTTCTGGAAGATAGACATTGTGTTGCATGATTACAAAAGAGACATTTCAAATGCTTCAACTTTTATAAGTGACTTTCAGATAGCAAAGGTAAAAGCTTTGTAGAAATATAGAACAAGTCCTTCAGAAACAGTGTGTCAGATGTGATTGAGTCCTGATACAGTTATGCAGGTCTTTTGTAATTATATGATATTTGCTTTTGCTTTATAGTAAATCCATAGGCTGTTTTACAGTTCACGCCCCTAAATCCTGCTACTATCGCTCGGATTTGAGATCATAGCATTGTTGTTGCGCACTCACCGATGCTGGAGATTTCTGCAGCTCCGAGCAGACAAAGCACCGCGAGGCAGGTTAGTGAAGAGGAGTCCAGCTCCATCTGATGATCTGATCTGCTCACAGAAGAGCGGCCATCTACAAGAAGAGACCATCCTCACTGCTGTCAATACTCGCTTTCACTTTCACAGGCACTCCCGCGACCAACAACCAATCACATGAATCTCCCGCCCCGGACACACAAGCAAGCGGTTTGATTGGCTAGAGGTTGTACTGGCATATGATTTGATTGGCTGACGCTTCCGTCGAAGCTTCAAAAGTTGAACATTGCTCAACTTTTGAAGCGAGCAACGCGAGAAAAAAACATTTTATTTGAGTTCAAAGTTAGCCTTTCATCCATCCTTACTATGGCATTTGCCACTTGATTGACGTACAGGTAAGCCAGTCTGAGTTGTATTGTGACATATGGGTTCATGCAGTTATGAGGGGGCCTCACCTCCTCATCTGAAGCACAAATGCGGCGCACTTATACGCTTATGCGGCGCAATAGTGTATAGCGCGACCCCCGCTCACGATACAGATTGGGCAGGGGCGGCCCTGTAGGTAGATTATTTGGGCGTGGTCATTTTAAAAGTAGCTCCCAACCAACCCAAGCTGAAAAAGTGTGGGCACCCCTGGGCTACAGTGATACATCCATGGCTACAGTATGCAAATACATGGATCACGTACGCCATGTTTTGCTGCAGTTATACATTCCCCTTTTTTTGTCGAAAAAGTACATACATCACTTTGAGAAGTGATTGGGCTGCACAGAGCCGTCATTTTAAACATGAAGTTGTTATTGGGCATTGAAGTGTATTGTGGTGGAGTCAGCCAGCCGCTAGGTGGAGGAAGAGAGCAGAACGTCGCTATGATGTCGTTGACTGTCGCCCTTAGTTTTGTTGTTGTGCTGCTGACTTCCGCTTCGTACAGCGAGGAGCTAACTTTAATAAATGTGCCGCTAAACTATTTTATGTTACAGGCACTGGCATATAGTTAATGTGCAGACATTTCTTAAACCGGTAGGTTGAAAACAAGCTAAACTAATATAGTTGTTGTGAAGATATTTAATTGAAGAGTAGACAGTCACGTAGCTATGTTAGCATTAGCTAACGTTTAGCTTCATTGATATGTGTCTAGTCTCTCCTTGCCTGCACATGAGTTTTAAGTAAAACAATGCTTTCTTTAATATAGCTAACGTTAAGTTAGCATGTCCATGTATTGAATTAAAAAATCGTTAGAATACAATTATGGAAAAGCGTCTCATGTAGACAGCTGCTTACAGACTCAATGTCTCTCCAAGTGTTGCAGAGCAAAATGATGCATGTGAAGCTAGTTTAGATACATTAACGCTGTGGTTGAACACAAATGAAATGTGTGTGTGTGTTTGCAGGAGACAGCTATGTCGTTATACGATGAGATCGGTGTGGGTGCGAGTGACACCAAGACTGAAGGCTGGTCCAAGAACTTCAAGCTGCTGCAGTCCCAGCTGAAAGTGAAGAAGGCTGCTCTGACCCAGGCCAAGGTAGGCACATGCAATATGTGAGCACTGCAAGGCAAAGCAAGTTTATTTATATGGCAGCTTTCATAATCAATTTCTGTGTGTGTAGACCCAGCGGATGAAGCAGAGCTCGGTCTTGGCTCCGGTTATTGATCTAAAGAGAGGAGGCTCCATTGATGAAAGACAGATCATAGACACTCCTCCACATGCTGCCGCTGGACTTAAGGTTCGTACCACAAACCTGAGCCACAGTGTGAAAAAGTGCATACTTAGTGGTAATATGATACTGAGTGGGATGTGGTGTTTTGATGCAGCTGCACCAAGATCCCCACAATCTGCTCACACATGTACATATTTGCTTCAGGACACCGTGCCCAGTGGTTTCTCCTCTAGCGATGCGCTGATCCCGTTGGCGGATGAGTACGATCCAATGTTCCCAAACGACTACGAGAAGGTGGTAAAGCGACACAGAGAAGAGCGTCAGAGACAGAGGGAGCTGGAGCGGCAGAAGGAGATCGATGATAGAGAAAAGTACGGTCATGGCGGTCAATCAGTACATTTGTTTCCGGGCTTGAAGCCATAGCATGTCGAGTTAATGCTCAACTATGGATACCAAATCATATCAAAAGTTATGCCAAGACACTATTCACATTAATGACAGAGAGTGGAAACAAACGTGGGACAACCGAAGAAAAGGGCTGTGGTTTTTATTATTCGTCACGGATTAATAATTTGTATGAAACTGAGAGTCTACTGGACTGAATATTTTGAGGACAGGACTCCTTTTTAAATCTTGATGTTCTTGTGTTGCAGGAAGAGGAAAGACAGGCACGAGGGAGGAGCTCCGAGTGGCTTCTCTCGATTCCCTGCAGCGGAGGGCGAGTCAGATGAGGAGGAAGACTATGAAGCAGAGCGGAGGAAAAGAAGTGAATATTTGTATTGTATAACAGAAATATTCACTTTACTTGGATATTTTCAGAGTCTGAAGGTCGACTTTTCCAAAATGATGACATGCTCTATTTGGTTACACTCTGAATGTATATAAATACATATGTCAAACATTTTAGCATTGATGAATAGCATAATCATTTGCTGATTCTATGCATGTAGCCCGCTGTGTGTCACGGTAATGATGTGTCAAACTTCTCTAACGTGATGAATCTCCTGCCTCTCTCTCTCTCTCTCTCAGCTTTAGGTGGAGCAGCCATCGCCCCTCCATCTTCACTCGTGGACAAGGACGGTATGTGTTATCTAGCAGGTGGTAACATTTAAAACCACTGACTATCAAATAGACCAGGAAGCAATCCTATGTAAACGGCTCAGAGATACACTAACCCTTAGTTAGTTAGTTAGTTATTTTGCTTGAACTTTGTTTTGTTTCCTGACATGAGTACAACGCACATGGAGCTTTTTAGTATTGCACGTGCATTAGTGTTACCCGCAGGGGCTTTAGTTCGTTTATTTTTGTGTCTTTGTCGGTTATGTTAACTGTCAGTTTGTGTACAGCAGAGGGCAGCAGCAACACCGTTTAAAGTATCTTTACCATGTGATGCCAGTATTAAATCACTAGGACAGAGGCGGGGAGTTCTTTGCTCCGGTATCATCCTTAATTTTTCACACAGTGATATAAAAAAACTGATTCAAACATATATTTATTTTTATATTTATTCTGGTTGATGGGAATACCAAACATTAACATTGTGCAGGCGAAATAAATAACATTGTATTTGTTTTTCTGTGTATGTAGGCTCCTACTGCTACGAAGAGGAAGTTCGTCCCCCAAGAGGCTCAAAGGCCGCCATCCCTCCCCCGATGTATGAAGAGTCAGAGCGAGCGCGCTCACCACCCGGACCCACCAGCTCCTTCCTCGCTAACATGGGGTGGGTGACACGCACGCACGCGCACACACACACACACACACACACACACACACACACACACACACACACACACACTGGAGAACATGCCTGCCTGGTATGCTGAGTAAACGTGTTAAAGCTGTATGTTGGACTGTTTTTTGTCAATTACTTCATTACTATCTAATACACGGGTCTCAAACTCAAGGCCCGGGGGACAAATCTGGCCCGCGACTTCATTATATGTGGCCCCGCAAGAGCTCGAAGAATAATACGTTTATTATACGGTTACATGCCACTTTACAGAAGCAGGTTGCCCATAAACTACATGTCCCACAATCTCGTTTTGTGACATGCCACTGAAGAGACTTGCAATTATTTGCCCTGGACTCAGACGTAGTTAATTACTATGTTATTTTCCTATCCGATAATAATCCAATTCAAAGGCAATAATGTAATATAATACATTATTTTATATATATATATTATATATCTATATAGTTACAACCGGCCCTTTGAGTGCAACCTCTATGTGAATGTGGCCCGCGAAGAATTTGAGTTTGAAACCCCTGATCTAATAGATACAATGCATCAACATCAATTACAGAACCCTTATTTGACTCAATAACGATTCTATAAATCGAAGTGTCGACAAACAGCTTTATTATTACAACAAACACACATTTTGAAATCCTCCTTCTCCATATCGCCTCCCACAGAGGTACGGTGGCCCATAAGATCATGCAGAAGTATGGATTCAAAGAGGGCCAGGGCCTGGGGAAGCACGAGCAGGGCCTCAGCACGGCGCTGTCTGTGGAGAAGACGAGCAAGAGAGGAGGAAAGATCATCATCGGAGACGCTGCAGAAAAACGTAAGTACTACCGTTACGTTTGTGTTTCTGCTGATATTTTTCTCTCATGATGCTGGAGGCCACGCGCCCAATGTTTTGACTTTCCTTCAAAATCTTTTCTCTGTACGAAGTAGCATTTTCATTTGTTTGGTGTCTGTGTGTAACCTGCATTGACCCTCAGTTTATCACTTTTCATTCTTCATCAGTGAGCGTTATGGTGTCATTCCAGGATCAGTTACATGTTTTAATGTTTTACTTTGTGTGCCGTCTTTTTCCTGTGTGTGTGACTGAGCAGCAGGCTCCAGCCAGGCAGGTGCTCCTGAGACTTCAGGAGGAGGCTTTTCAGGTTTGCTTTCACCTTTATTTTCTCTCCGATTACTCCTATTACTGCCATGCTAGTCTATTATTCAGAAATTGTGTGTGTGTTAGGGCTGCTCGATTATGGCAAAAATCATAATCTCGATTATTTGGGTCAATAATTGATATCACGATTATTAAAAACAATTATCAGTTTACTTTGAAAACATCAATTTATTGGAGATTTTTTTTTTAACAGTATGTTTTTAACAGTTGATTACCCTGAACTTTAAGTATAATTCAACTGAAAAAAATAAATAATAATAATCAATTTCGTATTACGTTGTTTTCGTTAATCGTCGCAAGCCAAAAAAAAAAAAAAAACATAGCAGGGGGGGGGGGCGCACGCTAACATCTCTGCAGGTAACTTTGAGATGTTAGCCTTTGCAGACCATTTACAGCACATGCACAAAATCCTATATAACACACTACAGGAAAGGGAACCCCCAAAGAGCATAATAGGGCCCCTTTAGTAATGAATTCATTTAAAGATAAGAATCCAGATTTTAGAACTTACCTCAGAGGTAAAGTGTGAAATCAAATGTAAACTGGAGATGGAATGGGTTGATAATAAGTGAAAACAATGGAAATTCCCCTGTGCTATTTCCAGTTGCAGACTTTGCCTAGCTTTCACTGCTTCTGTAGTTGTACGTCATGTGAAGGGATTTACAGCCAATCAGCAGCACTTCTGTTATCAGCTCTGTCTGCTGTACAGTACAGTTATCATGAGAATACACTGTTCTCTAAAGGACATCAGTGGCCTCCTGAGGAACACATTGTTGCTCCTGATTACCAGTTTATGAGTCAGAGTTTATCTAAGGACCTGCTGAAAGGATGACTAATAATATGTACTGTGTGTATATACATGTGGACACTTTCTGTGTTCCTCTGAACAAGTCAATTCCTCTGCAGCTTATTGTTAGTATAACAACATAAAAGCAGTGTTTAAACTATGACAAAACAACCAGACGTGACAGAAAACTCCTGTTGGGCTCACAATCAGCTTTTGAATAAATATCTGCCAAATTGTTATTCATCATTTGTGTTGTACTCATAACAACACAAATGATAAGCTATTACTCTATTCAGCACCGCATATATATATTATTTTGAATAGAATAACATTTGACCGTTGTTTACATTTTTTTCCCCAACCAGGGGACAATGTCAAGAAGTCAGATGCCAACCCGCTCACAGAGATCCTAAAAAACCCCACCAAAGTTGTCCTGCTCAGGGTAAGTGTGTGTGTATGTGTTTGATTTATACTGTAGTCTCCTGAGTAAGGCCTAATGTGTGTTTGCTTTGTAGAACATGGTGGGCAGAGGAGAGGTGGACGAAGACTTGGAGGGAGAGACGAAAGAAGAGTGCGAGAAATACGGCAAAGTGGTTAGATGTGTCATTTTTGAGGTAAGAGAAGAGAAATACAAAGTGTGCAGTTAATTCATTTATACTGCATGAAACTCACAAAGCCCTCTTTGCCTATCAGATCGCAGTTGTGCCAGATGAGGACGCTGTCCGGATATTTCTGGAGTTTGAGAGGGTGGAGTCAGCCATCAAAGGTAGGTATTTCCTGTTTTGTAGTCACCTGAATGAGGTCCACTTACAGGACTTTTGTAATGCCTAGACACACCAGACACTACAAATATTTAGAACACGAGTCAGTTCCTGTTGCTTCAAATGGCTGTAAATGTCACAGTAGTATCCAAACCTCAGACATTTTTTCCCATTTTGTTGACAATGCTAACTTTATTTCTAAAACATTTTTATTCGGGATGCTTCCAAAATACATATATTTAAATCCTTTGGTATAAGACTCCCCAAAAACGTGAACTCAAATGTGTGACATCATCACTTTAAAGTGAGGAAGTGATACATAGATGACGATTTGTGTTAGATGAGACGGTGAGAGCAGCCAGGGGGATTTTCTGAAAGCATGGGAAAGGTTTTTGTTTCACAACTGGGAACACTACAAGACAGTAAAGCTCATTTTGGTATATATATATATAAAAAAAAAACATTCTGTGGGTTCCAAAAACCAGTCTCATGTGTATTGTCTATGGAACAACTCCAGACTTATTCATAATTATCAATTGAATATTTAGGCCATGGACATAACATTTAGGATTTCATTCTTACATATTACCCTTGTATAACTGCTCTAATATTGTGGGTGAGAGTATGACCCATTCTAAATGTGTTGGCCCAGATCAGAATGAAGGTGAGGCTCCCTGTGGTGTTACATCTTACGTGACTCTCTGCAGCAGAGGCAGAACCGCCAGAACACTCACGCTCGGAAAGTGGGACAGACAGAACGATACATAACAAGCCGCTTAGTGTGATTTATTTCTACAGATGATGACTAAACATTTCTTTACTTTTTGCTGAAAAATCAAGTAGCACTCAAGTAGCAAGAGTGGTTGTCCACCAGTGAGAGGTCAATGTTTAAACTGCTGATGAATGTGTGTGAGTGAATGAATGCTGACTTTTGTATGTGACAGCTTTTAGTGATGGTAAATAATTGAAAAGTGCAATATAAATTCAGTACATTTATCAATTTAAGCAGCAACCTAGGGGTTTGAAAAGTGAAGCCAATGCAGAAGGGCCTTTAAACCTGGATTCTTTCCAATTAATAGTTCAATATGGCCGAGACGATTGTGTAGAAGACTATGAGAAAATGTGGCTACTTCTCTCTTGGTTTCTAATTACTTTATTGTCTTCATTTGTAGTTTCAAGTCTTCTCCAGTACAGCATGATGTTTATTTAGTCAATCTTCCCATTCAGAGTAAAATAGACGATACAGCAGGGTATGTTTTTAGCGTGCAAACATGAGAAGGTTTCTGCCATCTCACACTAACAAAGACCTCCAGACATGTTTGATGTACTCCTTTGAAAGAATATGTTGCCCTGTTTCCCTTTACATGATGTAATGAGTCTAACTGCAAAACAATCTACAGTCTTATCACTGCAACATGTTTTGTACACAAAGTGGCAATAAGAGCGTGTTCATTTCCTCGAGACACAACACTGAACACTGAGTATGTCCAATGTCCTTTTTATACAAAGGTCCCCTCGATGAGTGGAACTTTATGACAGCATTTACTGTCTGCTGCCTCTTTAGTCATATTTTCCTGATTGCCACGTCTACTTTTGTAGTGTTCAAGCGTTCGCTGGCACAGCTTTCCCGGACAGTTTGTTCCACACAAATGAAACAATTTAGAGCGTTGACGGTTAAATAAACTATTGAACTTTGTGCCACTGTTTAACAACCATACAGTGAGAACAGGTTCAAGCCCCTTTTAGGAGCCTGTCAATGGCTTTCTGATGAAACACCAGTTGAAATAACTCAATGGTTAACTCTTCGCTATAAAATAAATATCAACCAAAGTGTGTTGTTGAATGGTTCATCTGTGTCCTTATCAGTGTGAGTCTAACCTCCGCTCTCCTCTGCAGCCGTGGTGGATCTGAACGGACGTTATTTCGGCGGGCGAATCGTCAGGGCCTGCTTTTACAATCTAGACAAATTTCGGGTTTTGGACCTCGGTGAGCAGGTGTGACGTCTCATCTTCTCACAACGTGTACATAAACTTTTTTTTATATTTTCTGAACAACAGTGACCTGTCAGTATGTAGTGGTGATTCCGTCTTGTAGGTTAATATCATTAAAAATACCTTTATGTTGAGACAAAATAAAGAGTATGAACGACGTCCAGTTTACTGTTTTCTTTACTTTGGACTGTAAATGTGTTTTTGTTGAAAATGTCTTTGCAACCTGCACACATCCTGTCATGGAGCCTGGTTGCCTTCTCAACATTTTGTCTGACATAACGCTGAATCCAAAGTAGTGTTGAGACGTCTCCAGAGCCCGATGGTCTTAACTTAGCCCTGATTGATTGTGGAAAGAGGGCCTCATTCAGAAATTATATAAGTGCGCCTAAAGGGGCCTGAAGCTGCTGAAATGCGTCAGCAGGGATCCCACCGGAGCAGGTTTATTCAGATCAGGGAGAGAAAACTGAAAGGAGAGTTTTACTTTATGCTGCAAGGGTCAAAGGTTGAGGTCAGGGTATGGCGGGAGATAGATGTCTGACCGGCGGACAATGACTGTTATTAAATATGTTTCTTATGTATTGGTATAAAGATCCCCTGGTAATGTCAATAACATTTTCTTAGAAGAATGCATCTGATATTTCGCCCGATACTTTCAAAGAGCGAAAGTTGTTTCTTTTACTTTGAAAAGCTGAAAATACATTTCCAAGCCACATTACAGAGCCAAAGCAATGACATCCTGAATGGGATTTTTGGTGAAGTAAAAATAACGGTATGGCGGTGTGTGATTTGAGACAAGGTGGGTGTAAAGGCTGATCTGGATATCTTGACATGAAAACGGGGAAAGTATTTTGAAAGATGCAGCCTATATCTTTCTTGAATTTTACACATTGAGGATGTTTCTCACTAAACCAAGTAAATGTGTTTAAAACAAGTTCAACTTAAGAAAAGAAAGTGACAGAAAAAAACATGTCATCACAAAAGTAAAAGTACCAAAGCATAAAGGATTAGTACTAAGTATCTTAGTTAAGTGAACAGAGTCACGGTCCCACAGTCTGTTCTTTTCCCTGTCAATCTTAATCTATGCGGAAAAATACAGGGCCTAAAAATAAGCTGCCATGTTGACTGATACATTATCTTTTATACCAGTGCTGAAACTGATGCAGATTCACTGTTCAAGGTCAACTGCTATGACTATTGACTAAAACACAGGAGGAGAATGATAGTTTTATGTTGTAGTGAAATGACTCATATTCTGATTTCTATGAATGGGGATGATTCAGTGTCAAAATGATGACTCATGCCTAAATGGTTTCCTGAATCTTAACATATATTGGCAAAACAGTTTATCCCAATCTGGATTTGCATCTTGCAAATTAAGACATAAAATGATATGAAAAAATAGTAAGATTATGATGTAAATAGGATCTCTTAAGAGTCATTTTTGTAGAAAGTGGAGGATGTATCATTTTATGGGAAGAGATTAAACAAATTAATAAAAAATACTTAAATAATTACTTTAAAGAGACATTTTCAATTTAGAAATGTTCATGAGTACTTTTACTTTTGGTACTTTAATTTAATTTAACTTTTGTACTTTTAAATGCAGGACTTGTAACAGAATATTCCTGCATTCTGGTACTTTTACTTTTTTTACAAGATCTGAGTACTTTTTCCACCCCTGTGTGCATACTCAGATATTATCTGTTATATCAAGTCTATGGTTACCCCACACAGAGGCGCTGTGCATGAACGTGCGTATCTGCGCGTGAGTGGGTTCGTGTCGTCACCGCTGTCACGTTGCTGCCGGCCGGCGGGGCGGGGTTAAATAGAGGATGTGAGCCGCAGCCTGCAGATTAACACGGCTCAGCTCAGGAACAGCTCGCCTCATTTCGCCTGAACCTACACGGCTCTTTTGTGTCTTCTCCCCGAAACTGAGCGGCTCGGTGCCCGTGTACTGTGAGGAATGCCCGGAGAGCTGACCCAGGACCGGATCCAGAAGACCTGGGAGCGGTCCAAGAATGACCCACCGGCCAACCGAAGAGGTAAAGCCCCATAGTAGCCTATACTACAGCGTCATATGCTGTTTCCTAACCTAAATTATCACTACACCGTTATGAAAAAATGTCGTCATATATAGCCTATGTCGTGTGTGTCATCTCTGTTAGAGTAGGCTATACAGTTGTGCTCCTGTCGTACACCTGTCCTTCACATTTTTTCACTTCCATTGACCTTTATCATCGGCACGCGCCGCAGGTCACATCCCTTTTGCTGGAGAATGACATAGTTGTGGTCACCATGGTTACCACGTCTGTGTGATGCTTGGTTTTCTATTGATTGGTGGCGGGCAGCGAGTGAGACCCTGCCTGGATGAGCTCGGGGAACTCTGAGTGAAGGATGTTTCTTATGGCTTCAACACAAGAGTCAAGTTTCTGCAAAAGTAACAGAAAGCTTCCATTGCTCTAGTTTAAATAGTTAAAAATAGGAACTAAAGCAATTTGAAAGCGCTCTGCTCATCTTTGGTCACTTTTCCCTGCTAAACTAAGGCAGACTCTTATGATTTGAGTTAAAAATGAGCACATAGGTGGTGCTTTGCAGAGAGGATGATGAACCCGATCATCCGTTTAGGCAGCATGGCTCGTTTGTATGGAAACAAGGTCAGCAAGTATAAATGAGATTGACAGCCACATGCTGCTGGGCGTGTCACAGAAATAAAGATTTAAATAAATACATTCAAGTAGGCTGCAGGGTGGAGAGAAATAAAGCAAAAATACAAGGTCCAATTATAAAATCACGGGAAAACAGGCATTGTTGTCATAACAACCATAACAACCACCCCCTCCTCCCATTCTTCTCTGCAGCGGCCGGTGCCCCCCACTTCGCCAACCCCCCCACCGTCATCGTGATGGTGGGTCTACCGGCTCGAGGAAAGACATACATGTCCAAAAAACTCACCCGCTACCTCAACTGGATCGGCCTTCCCACCAAAGGTACACACACACACACACACACACACACACACACACACACACACACACACACAACCACACACACAGATCGTGTTGGCTCATTCTGTGGTCAGATGGTTATGTGACTGCTGTCAGGTACACACACTCTCTCTCACACACACCCACTTCAGCATTAATCATGTTTCCACCTCCTGGATATCGTGTTCATTCTTTTTCCTGTGTGTGTGTGTGTGTGTGTGCTGTAGTCTTCAATGTGGGAGAGTACCGCAGGGAAGCAGTGAAGAACTACAGCTCCTACGATTTCTTCAAGCCCGATAACGAGTGTGCTGTTAAAATCCGACAGCAATGTGCCTTAGCAGCCTTAAGGGATGTCCACTCCTATTTGAAGGTCGAGGGTGGCCAAATAGCGGTGAGTTTCCCATCATTCATTGCATGCTTTTCTAAAATATTCTCCTAACCTGGACTCGATTTAACCCGCTTTGTGTCCTTTCAGGTCTTTGACGCCACAAACACGACCAGAGACAGGAGAGAGATGATCCTCCAGTTTGGAAGTGAGAACGGCTTCAAGGTCCGTGATGCTACCTTCGGATTCACAGCATTTCCTCCATTTCAATGCAGCGAGTTTAACTTCTTTTTTTTTCTTTTTCTGCCCAGATCTTTTTTATCGAGTCCGTGTGTGACGATCCCAGCGTTATTGCGTCAAACATCATGGTGAGTCAAAGCTCCAGTGCATCCTGGTCCCATGGCATACTATCCAAACTCTCTGGCATAAGATGTGGTACTGTATCTCTGTCTGACTGACTTCCTCCCTGTTCAGGAAGTGAAGGTGTCCTGTCCAGATTACCGGGACTGCAACAAGACTGACGCCATGTTGGATTTCCAGAGGAGGATTGAATGCTACAAAACCAGCTACCAACCTCTGGACCCTGATCAACATGACAGGTAAATGATCACTATCAATATCTAAATGCCGTTTTGTGTATTTATATGGAGAGGAAATCAACTATATTGCAGAGAGGTACTCATAGAACATAGTAAGGCTCAACTTTAACAAAACCAAGGTGGTTGAAATACACACACACCTGTCTACATCAGTGAAGCTGTTGTATAGCAGGTGCACACTTTTCTGCGAATCAGCATCACAGAGAAGCCGACATGGACATCCCATATCTCCATCGCGGTTGAAAAAGCTAAAAAGAAAAAGGCAGTATTTCTTAAGCAAACGTAACAAGGGAAACCCCCACGGCCATGTTCCTGTTAAGCTTTACAGTGGAGCCTTAGAAAGCATGCCGACTGGAAACGTTACAAGTGTTTTTGTTTTTTTATGTAGGAGACCCTGTGTTTAACACTGTCAATAAATGGTCCTTCATGAAGGTTAATGAAACACTCCCTCCATCCTCTTCCTCCTCCAGGGACCTCTCCTTCATCAAGGTGATAGACGTGGGTCGGCGCTTCTTAGTCAACCGGATCCAGAATCACATCCAGAGTAAGATCATCTACTACCTGATGAACATCCACGTCCAGCCCCGCAGCATCTACCTGTGTCGGCATGGAGAGAGCACCGACAACCTGGAGGGGCGTCTGGGCGGGGACTCGGGCCTGTCGCCGCGGGGCAAACAGGTAGGAACCCTTGAAGTAGATTGTAAATATGACAAAATGCCGGTTTTTCAGGTGCTAAATATGCTCTGCTTCAGTTCTCAGCTGCCCTGGCTGGCTTTGTGGAGGAGCAGCAGCTGCAGGACCTGAAGGTCTGGAGCAGCCAGCTGTGCCGCAGCATCCAGACGGCAGAGCGCCTGTGCGTCCCGTACGAACAGTGGAAGGCTCTGAATGAGATCGACGCCGTAAGCATCGCACTAACACACCAAATTCCCAGTATTTTACTCGCGGCCAAACTGATATATTATCCGTCATTTCAGGGAATGTTTGAGGAGATGACGTATAACGAGATGAAGGAGAAGTTCCCGGAGGAGTTTGCTTTGAGAGATGAAGATAAATACTACTATCGCTACCCTGCCGGAGAGGTATGCTCACACGTAATAGTAGCAGTGATTTGCATTTAGGTCATTAGCTGACATATAGCAAAAATAACCCAGATTATCATTTTAGACATAAGAATGCAACCCTATTTCAGTGGTATTTGATATACGAACAATAATAAACATGCCAACCCTCCGTATCCTGATCACAGTCCTACCAGGACCTGGTGCAGCGGGTGGAGCCGGTCATCATGGACCTGGAGAGACAGGAGAACGTTCTGGTCATCTGCCACCAGGCCGTCATGCGCTGCCTGCTGGCCTACTTCCTGGATAAGAGTGCAGGTGGGTACTCCAAAGTCCCAGAAACCTTCTGTTGCTGTATCCTAATGTTAATGATTTAAAGGTCACCTGTTACGCAAAATCCACTTTTTCATGTCTTTTCTACATCAACATGTGTCCCCTCTGTGTAAAGAGATTCTGAAAGTTTCAGGAAAAAAGATTACCTCGATTTTTTGTCCTGATCCATTTATATAAAAACCTGTCTGAAAATGAGCTGATCAGATTTTGGCCACTTTATGATGTCATAACGATTTTTTGGCTTGTGTAACCATTAGCCAATCACCAACCAAGGTAACCCCCCTTATCACCTGAATCTCCTCCTAGAGCACCATTGTGTTCTTTTTAACCAAATATCTCTCAGAGGGGCGTGGGGAGTGGCTTCTTATTTTCATCTAAAGTAACAGACAGAGGATCAGCCACTTTTGAAACAGGGCTGAAACAGAGGTGATTATGGGATGCTGCAATGATCTGTTTGGTGTTCGGAGCCAAACACTTCAGAGACATGTTTGTATATCTGAGACCTATAATACATTGATGAAAAACATTATAATAGGGGACCTTTAAGATGCTAATGCTGTTCATATGTGTTTTTCCAGAGGAGATGCCGTACCTGAAGTGTCCCCTGCACACGGTGCTGAAGCTCACCCCGGTCGCCTACGGCTGCAAAGTGGAGTCCATCTCGTTGAATGTGGAGGCGGTGAACACCCACCGAGACAGGCCGGAGGTAATGTCAGAGAAACTCACGACTGAATGTGGGAGGCGTGCTGTAAAGAAGTGGATACATGTTGAGCTCATCCTCAAATTAACATTTCCACATGCCCACCTGCAGGATGTGAAGAGGGGTCCCGGGACGTTGATCAGGAGGAACAGTGTGACTCCTCTGACCAGCCCCGAGTCCAACATCAAGAAACCCCGCATCGCCGATCTGGACGAGGCCGGCTTCTCCGAGCTGCCTCCATCTGTGTCCTCGCCGTCTCTCTGCAGCCCCTCACACACCCCCATGAGCCTGTCTGGACAGGTAGGGCTCGCATAAACACACTCAGACACACTCACACAGGCCTTTTTCTGTTAAATCTGGCTTCTTTGTTTATTGGGCTTGTGTACAGACTGCAAGTTTGTCCACTGACTTATCTGTTTCTCTTCCTCCTCTGCTCTTTCCCTCCTTTGCTCATCTACTATTTCTTCTTCTCTCTCTCCTCTTTTCCTCTGCTCCTCACAGCACTGGCTGGGCAGAGTTTACCGGTAAGTATTCTCTGTTTTCTTTTCATCCAATCCCTAAACTCTCTTCCTGTTACTGCTGCTTCTTTTTTTCCTCACTTTTCCCGCACTCAACTTAACAGCAGCTTTTGCTTTTTGGACATAAAATCTAAAAGCATCTAAAGACATATATCAATTTACATACTGTACCTTTTAATAGTGACATGTGACTATCTCATTTGAGAGTATATATTATGACGGATGCATCATTTTTCCGTAGATGGACATGTTTCACACAGGAAAATGAGACAGGAAATGAGTGTGTGTGTTTTCTTCTCAGTGAGGGAAACAGGAAAACACGTGTTATTTCTGCATCCTGTTGTCACCACTCTTTACGCTGACTCATGCTTTCTGTGCTTGCTTTATATCTGGCCTGCTTAAAGACAAACCGTCCTCCAATATCTGAAGGTGTTTTCACTCTTAGTCTTTCAAAGGTAAACACACTGTAGAGGCTCTGCATTGCTGCGTACTGTCAGACACAAATACATCAAATAAACCAGATTACTCTGACACAATGTCCAGTTTATTACATTACATTACATTACATTGCATTTAGCTGACGCTTTTATCCATAGCGACTTACAATAAGTACATTTGACCAGGAAGATACAACCTTGAAGAAAACAGAATCATATAAGTACATCAGGTTTCATAGAGCCAAACATTTCAAGTGCTACTCAACTGGCTTTAGATAAGACAGCCCTTTATTAGTATATAAGTGCTTTGTTAGCAATTCTATCGCTCGAAGTGGAGTCTAAAGAGATGAGTTTTCAGTCTGCGCCGGAAGATGTGTAAGCTTTCTGCTGTCCTGATTTCAATGGGGAGCTCATTCCACCATTTTGGAGCCAGGATAGCAAACCCACATGTTTTTGCTGATGGGAACTTGGGTCCCCCTCGCAGTGCGGGTGCAGCGAGCTGTTTGGCTGATGCAGAGCGGAGTGCACGTGCTGGGGTGTACGGTTTAACCATGTCCTGGATGTAGGAAGGGCCAGTTCATTTCGCAGGGCATGGTTTACGCAAGTACCGGTGTCTTGAAGTGGGTTCTAGCAAAAAAAGTTTTACTGGAAAGCCAGTGAAAGGGGAGCGGAAGGGAAGCGGCGTGGTTGTGGGGAGATTTTGGAAAGGTTGAAAGGACCAGCGAGCGCTGGCATTCTGGATTGAGGGCTGCAGAGGTCGGATGGGCCGTATGCAGTTAGACCAAGCCAGGAAGGGAGTTGCCAGTTAGTCTTAAGGCGTTGAGGATGACGAGGAGCCTGGACCAAAAAAGGAAACCTGGCGCTTGTTTTCTGGGTCAGCTGGGGACGTATCCTCCTGATGTTGTAAAGCGTGTATCTGCAGCAGCGGGTTGTAGCAGCAATGTTTGCAGTGAAGGACAGTTTGTTATCTAGGATCACATCCAGATTCCTTGCAGTCTGAGTCGGGAAAACAACAGAGGTGCCAATGTTGATTGTTAGGTCAATAGTGGGACAATCTTTTCCCGGAAGGAAAAGCAGTTCAGTCTTGTCAAGGTTGAGCTTGAGGTGATGAGCAGACATCCACTGAGAGATGTCTGCTAGGCAAGCAGAGATGCGTGCGACTACCTGGGTCTCTGAGCGGGGAAAGGACAGAATTAGTTGGGTGTCGTCAGCGTAGCAGTGGTATGAAAAACCATGCGGGCTAATGACAGACCCGAGAGAGTTTGTGTACAAGGAGAAGAGGAGGGGACCAAGAACAGAGCCCTGAGGGACCCCTGTAGTTAATTGACAAGGGTCGGACTCGGACCCTCTCCAAGTTACCCTGTAGGTGCGGTCTTTGAGGTATAAGGTGAGGAGGGAAAGTGCAGAGCCTGAAACTCCAAGTTCTTGGAGAGTGCGAAGGAGGATCTGATGGTTCACCGTGTCGAATGCAGCAGACAGGTCCAGAAGGATGATGACAGAGGAGAGGGAGGCTGCTTTAGCAGTGTGCAGTTCCTCAGTGACAGCAAGGAGAGCAGTTTCTGTTGAGTGACCTGCCTTGAAACCAGACTGGTGCTGATCCAGAAGGTTGTTCTGATGGAGATAACAGGAGAGTTGTTTAAAGACAGCACGTTTAAGTGTTTTAGACAGGAACGGGAGGAGAGAGACAGGCCTGTAGTTTATAACATCAGACGGGTTGAGAGTGGGTTTCTTTAGCAGAGGGTTTACTCTTGCCTCCTTGAGACTGTTTGGAAAGTGACCAGAAGTTAGAGAAGTGTTGATGAAATGGGTGAGAAACGGTAGAATATCAGGAGCGATAGTCTGAAGGAGGTTTGAGGGGATAGGGTCCAGAGGACAGGTGGTAGGGCGGGCAGAGGGTAAGAACCTCACTTGGAGAGAGAGAGGAGAAGGAGGACAGTGTGTGGGTGAAAGGAGGGTCTGGTGACCCAGCGGTGAGTAAAGGTGAGTCAGAAAAAGAAGAGCGAATATCATCAACCTTTTTTTCAAAGTGGTTAACAAAGT